TGGCGAACACATCAGGTAGTCCCAGGCGTAATCGCCTTAGCAGATATTTCTGAATGCCGCGCCGGGGTCGCGAGAGAGTTCCATGCCACCCCATAATGGGTATCCGGCACACGTAATGATAATCCCATAATGCACGGATCTACTTGAAATCGGCCGAACCCGGTACACAGGTCTCGAATATCTTCGGCTCGGTGCGCATCGAAATCGTACTTCCTATTGAATCCATCCGCGATCTCGCACGGCCACGATGTGGGCATGCTGGTAGACAGGTCGGAATATCGCGGTATAAATATATACACAGAGACCGCCCTGGCACTCGAGACACGATGATTCCGGACTCAATGGAATTGACATATGCATCTTCTAGTCGTGTTCGATCGAGCAGCATGAAGAATCTCCGTGTTCTCGGATATGACGGCAATATGCGGCAATCGAGTGCGCCGCGCGCACGGCGGAGGAGACGGCGTAAGCTATTTATTTTTATTTACTTTTAGTGCGTCAGCTTTGTGCAATGTAACATAGCATTGCTACGTATACCAAAAAGACAGTGAGAGGCTTACTTTCGCTTGGTAATAGGTCCGCCTTTTTTAACAAGAGAATATATAAAGATATGTAGATAAATATAGCAATACTCAATATTTGCGTGAAGAAGCTGGAGCTAATGTTTTGAACTCAATCTGGCAAGAATTTATTTATTTCTTCTTTATTTTTACGAAGGATTGGTGTCTCACGTCAATAAAAATATCTATGTAAATCTATGTACGTCAGAAAATGTGTACACGATAAAACTTATCGAAAAGGACAAATCGTTTTGAAGATATAAGAGGGATTTACGTTTTATCAACTCATGTTAAAACGTGCGCGTGTTATTCAATGAGATTTGTGGAAATTGAACTTTGGTTTTGTTCAGCAGGCAGTAATCAGCCTCGTTGGTTGTGCTGCATCTGATAAGCTTGCTGACATCCTTGTTAGCTCGAAACATTCAATCTGCATGTACCTCCTGAGTGTGCAACCGCTGATACCCTGAAGAAGTCGGTAATGCCGCGTGAGTGCGCTGCGGCGAAGAACTTCTGCATCAACCTTGGTAAGGTTTTGGTGTAGCATGAATGAACGTCTGGTAACGTAGAAAACGAAGCAGATCGAGTTCGTCGGTTGGTAACTGTTTGACAACGTTTCCGTATGTAAGCTGTATCTTATCCAAGATAAGTTCTTCATTCACGATGCTTGGTTATTAGAATATTTCCAAGTTGAATGTTAGAATCTCGTGAAATATGATGCATAATTGGATTTTCAGTAAGAGAGATTAATACAAAATTGACTCAATATACATATCTATAATACATATTATAGTACATATTATAGTACATATTATAGATATTATAAAAAAAGATTCTAAGATATTCTATACACGACAGACGACTAAATGTTATTTTTTAAAATCATATTGAGACCGGCTAATGATAATTTTTAAAAGATCCGAATGCATTCCAGTAAATGCTGATCGATAAAGTGAGACACGGTCGGCAACATTCGATGGAACTTAACTAGTCGGTAAGTCTCAATCTTCCGTAGATAGGAAAATATCATGGGTAGCAAATAAATTGTTTATATACGTATACTGCAATATGCAGATACATAATAAAATCTTTTGAAAGAAATTGCAAACGTAAATCTGCAAAATTCATTACGCTTTTAATACAGGCTACGCTTATGCAGGCAAACGCATACAGATACACGTGACACATGAAAATAATACTCAATAAAATATAAACTGCATAACATAAAAAACAAACTATTTAATACCGAGTTAAAAGTATATGAATTTAAAGTACCATTTTTACCTCCAAAATTCTCACGTGTGCCCGAAATAGAATCGAGGAAATTATGTAAAAATAACGAAATTGTTGGAATGTAGTTGTCCTCAGGAGCTGGCGGTGGCTAAAATTAAATTAATGGCGGTAGACTGGTAAAAATGCTAATCCAAGTGCGCGTCATTAAAGCAAGCTTGTATACAGCGATCCTCGTTTTCCCCTCTGCTATTTTGCATTCTAACACAGCAATTAATGTCTCACTGAATTGAAGATAAACGCACAATATAAAATTTACCTCCCTTTTGAATCGCAACGCTCTTTGAAATGTTTCTATTCGAACTTTCTATCGTCTATCATGTTTCCACAGAGTTATTAAAAGCAGGTGAACGTAATGGTAGAATGTAATTAAAAAGCGAGCTCTCTGCGTTTGATACCGAAATTATTGAATCAACCATCCGCGGAAGATGCACAAAATGGAACGGGATGCACAAACTCTTCTGAAGCCGCAAAGATAATTCTAGCTTGGCAGCCTTTTATGAAGTACTTTGATTAAACAATGTGTTCCAGTTTTGAAGAATTTATGCAAATGCAGATTGATACCCAGCCGGAAGCGCCGTTTCCGTAATCGTACATATTCAGGCTGATTAGCAATTACAGCACGAAATTGCAGCGTAGATTTATCACGCAAATAACAGTCCAAAATGCTTGTTAAAGGGGAACGGTTGAATAAAACAATCATCGTTTATATCTAATTTTATATTATATGTCTTTTGCTGAAAGGTTCGTCATTTATACACGTCTGTTCGAAAGAGACAATGGAGCCTTCATTTTCAATAAATTATATATTGAAAGCTGTCTTCAATGCGTCTCTTTTTATTAACCATTTCCTTTCAACAAATCCATTATCTGATTGGACAACGAGCTTGCCCGTTACAATTTCGACAGTTTAATTCCAAAGACGCCCCATTACGCAAATCGAGGCGTTTGGTTAAATCAATCTCCGAAGTAACTGTAATCTCTCCCTCATTCCAAAGAAGTTTCGTATTTGCATTACATTGTTACGAGTTACCGGTAGTTGAAACTTGACGCGCAGATACAGGAACATTTAGAATGACAAGACTAATAAAGCCTTATCACAACTAGAAGAAAGTACTCGACACGAGTCACACTTTAAGAATGATTAATCACCGACAACATCCGGTAGGAGTAGTTTTCGCTCGCGCGTAATATTCGGCGGATTACATCAGCGGATCTACACATCCGAATAAGGAAAAGTATAGCTGATGTATAATTACCGATTCGCGTTAGTCGATTGCCAGACCTAACGCAGCAGCATAGTAGCACAGAGATAACGGCGTAATGTTATCCCGCGGCATCGCTATTAGTACAACGATAAAAGTGACCGCATGGGCGATCGCATGCGATCGATATCGAAAAATATTATCGCTACGTGAGAATTAGCAGGCGCGATATGTAGCGATTTCGTTGCGCGCCACTCCGCACGACATTTCCACTTAAATAGATATCATCGGCTTTTTATAATTTGCAGCGCGAGATTGTATCAACGATTACGCATCTCGCTCTCTCGCGTGCTTTCCTCCCATGCGCGCTATTAGAACGCGCGAGTTGTATCGCGATGAAATGGAAAAAAATAAAAAAAACACTATTATTTGTGTACGTAATATACATATGTATGTAGAAATCAAACGACTGTTCGAACCGAGTAATGTACTCCTCCCTCTTTCTCTCTCTCTCTCTCTCTCTCTCTCTCTCTCTCTCTCTCTCTCTCTCTCTCTCTCTCTACCGAGTTATATCTCGTTGATAGATACGACACCGGCATTCGGCTCGTCTAATTAAGCATCCATATTAACATTTCCAACAGACTCATCAATCAGGTGCCATCAAACTGAAAAATGCAACATACATATAAATGGAATATAATTGAGTGTACTTGTACCGCAATATTTGATAAGAGTTCTACGTACCAGTCGATTACGTACTCGCCAAAAACGACACGGCTATTTAAACGACGTCGGTAACGAAAAAAGCGTTATTAAAGCGCTGTAGTATCCAACGGTAGAACCGCAAAGCGAGCCGAAAAGCGAAATATCGGGCTGACCTTACCTAACATATACGCCGGAAGCTGAATAAAATTTATGGGAATTATACCTCTCAATGGATTTTTGGGGCAACGGGCGAACTGTACGAGCTGCACGTGGAAATTGCAAATTGAAGGGTCGTGTAAGCCAAGTAATAATCTTATTGAAATCAGCACCGGGGATAATTTTTCAAACATTAAAGCTCGAAGGATCGATAACGCGCCATCGTATATTCTCTCTCTAGCGTGCGAGAGAATTTCACGGAACACACCTAAAGACGCGTATTCCTCTCCTTTGAATTGCCAACGTGATATCCCTCTCTCTCTCTCTCTCTCTCTCTCTCTCTCTCTCTCTCTCTCTCTCTCTCTCTCTCTCTCTCTCTCTCTCTCTCTCTGTCTCTCAGCCACTGAGCATAATTTGGCAGACTCTTCACTAACGGGGCACGCGTAATCCTTATAAATTCGGATACATGAGAATTCGTATAATTCTGACGGTGCTAGTTAATGTACGAAAGCGCCGGCCAGGGATCCGCAACGGGCATAAAGCTATCCGGCCGAGCCTTTGAATCCTTTGTGAGTTTAGGTCAGCTGATTATATCCTCGACGGCGGCGGCGCGGCGGCGGCGGCGGCGGCGGCGGCGGCGGCGGCGGCGGCGGCGGCGGCGGAGTCGGCAGAGGCGGCAGTTTAATCCGTCTCCGTTTAATTTGCATCTTGAGCTCCAGTGAGCGCTACGTAAAACGTACGTGATGGCGATAAAAGTCACGCCGTGTTAACGCGACGCCGCGTTAACACGTGCGACAGGACATCTGATAATGCCCATTACGTGCTGCATTCGTCTTAATTAATGCAACGCGAGCTTTGCGCGACGACGAGCGGCCGCCGCGGACGATCTGAGTGTCGCGCACTTATCTGTCGCACTTTGCTTGGACAAACATTCTCGCTCGCTCGCTCGCACCCGGGACAAGCCGCTTTTCCTTCTTGTCTCTTTTTTCTCCGTTTTTGCGCTTACTCGCAATTCCCACGACCGCTGCAAACTTAATCTCGCGATGAGATTGCCGCGACGTCGATCTCGACTCATGGCATCCTGGCCAGCTGATCCCCCGCATTCTCCCCCTCATTAATCGCTTGTGCTGCGCCGGCATATATTAAGGAAAAAGTTGGCGCGCTCCAAGAGTTTCCTCGGTAGACAATCGTTGCCCGTCGTTCGAGACAGTCACTCGCCGAAGCGGCGTATGAATACGCATTGGAGCCGTACACTTACGTAAGTCTCAGTACTTTTATTTTCTCCGAAGTCGCGGCTAATTTTCCTCCTGCTGATTGTGCGTATAATATGTATATATATTCGGATAGCGACAGTATGCGTGAGTATTTGTGATTATTATAGTGAGAAAAAGACAAATGAGGAAAACATCTATCTAGCTGCAGACATAAGTCGACTTTATCTTTTGAAGCGATCTGCAAAATTGTGGAACCTTTCGCGATCGATTCTCGCGGTCGAAGGAGATTTTTGTCAAGTTGAGTTAGCATAACCCGCGCGCGCGTCTTACTTGTATCGCTAAATTTACGTAACTTGTAAATCAGACTGCGATTTTGTTTAATTTATTTTTACTGCAGAGGAGGAAGGTCATACACACACGTACGTATGTACGTACACATGTGTGTATATATATATTTATATATATAGCTTAAAATTTACGACTGTACAAATTCCGTAAAACACTTGTCGGTACGAGTCTCCTCAATCAATATTTCACAGTGATTTACGCTCGAAAAGAACTCGCGCGGGGAATAATGGCACACGGGCGAATAAGTTCGAGAGATTTCGTCGTAGGCAGCGGCTAAGGCGGAAGTAAAATATGAAAAGGGATACGAGAGCGGAAGTACCGGACGAACGGGCAAAATAAATCGCTTGCTTGTGGTCTTGGCATTTGTCCATCTTTTAGCGGACAGTAAAATTAGTTGATTTTACTCGGCAACTTCAATATTCCCTGACAGATTACAGTCGTGGAGACGGGACGGGGCCGTAGCATGCAAAGTCCAAATTGAATCTTTAGCTTTCAGAGAGGACAAAGCCTCGGCTGCTCCACTTCTTATTCTTACTTTTGAAAATCGTGCAATTTTGGTATCACATAGGTATAACATACTCGCGAAAAGTGCTTTCAAATTTCATTTCAAATTTTATCTTATATTCTCTGGCTCTATAAATATATTTGTATTTTCTGATGGATACGTACATTGACGTATAAATAACGTAGTTTGACATGTCTCTCTTTTTATCTCTCCTGCTCTCTCTGCTTGAAACAATGAGAACATTAAGTGAGGCTGCATTTTACAAAAGGCTGCAACAGTTTTTACAGTCGAGTTAAATTTGTCCCGACTCGGTGTGATAGGAAATATTTTAATAACTAAGGGAGAAACGCCGGGGAACGAGAGTGGCTCGAAGCAGCGATAGCTGCGACCTCGTAACCTCATTCGGCAAACTGCCTATTTTCTGCTTCCCGCACACAAGGATTGATTCTTGTTCTTCTCTTTTTTAAGACCACTCAATTTTAAGGGTTGCCTAGAGAACCAACCGCGCTTCTCCATGGTGAGGCAGCGATGAGGCTTGTGTAATCGACCCGGCAAGCCCAGCTGTACTTCCCCTCTTATCAGTTACAAGGATTATCATCCATAAATAGATGTTCCCGCTATCTCGATGGAATCTCTTCCAAGGGACCTCAAGGGAATACTCAAGGGAGTCTGTCTGACAACGTGCGAGTGGCGAGCGTTCTGCTTAACAGCTTGATCGAATTCGCGCGACCGCCGCGATAAGAATAGAATAGAATATATCGCTGTCGCATACAGATGGGGTACGCATCGGATCGCAATTATTGTAATTACTGCTCCCAAATGGGACGTTTCTTTCTCTCGCGAACCATGCTCGATTAATTGCGCCGAGCGTCGACGTCATTCGTGCGCGGTGCGCGCACTTTCGTGTACAGCGCATAACAGATGAAATTTGAATACAGTGACAAATTGTATCATTATGTTGAGACACTGCGATACGTCAAAAACAGTATCAATCGTCGTTTGCATTATTGAAAGCTTGATGAATATTACAGTATTTATGCGCCGAGGCCGCTGCGGCGCTTTCGTCATCAATATGCGTATTCCCATGCTCGCGCAAACATGTCCAATGTTGCACGTAAATTTCTTAATTACTTACTCTGTTACTCACCCAAATTACTCAATTGCTACTCAGCCGCTTACTTCGCTCCTTCATTCATCACCGCTTAGGCTAATGAGAAGGGGCGAAAAAGGGGAGGGAGAATACGATCGAAAGGCGAATCGCCGCGTGTAAACGCGGTTGGCCTTTTTTTGCTGCCTCGTTTTGACAAACGGCAAATGGGCGACAAATTGGTGGCGTTGGTGGGAATCGGGCCGGGCACCTTCTTGCCCGCGCAGCGTGCATCTAGTTTTTAGCCGAGAGCAACTGCGCGTCGCGAGTATTTTTACATGTTATGGAATACGGTCGTTAACTTTTACGGCGTCGTAATACGTGTCGTAAGAATTATAGTTATAATACGAAGAAAGATACAGTGTGCGAGAATACAATATCGCCGGTGCCGTAACCGTGCCACGCTGTGCCGGCAAGTATGAGTCAGCGCCGTCAGACTGTACTTCCCCCGAGGAGCATTGGAATATTTCTCGGCCAACTGCGATAATATTATCGTATAAATATTTTCAGCGTGTCGCCTATGTCGCCAGACGTTATTACGCAATACCTGCGCACACGCTTCCCCGAGGGTGCGCAAATCTTCTCCGAGAAGATCAAAACATCAGCCGATACTCTAAGCTAAGCACCGTCGTAGCACAGCACGGACAATTACATTTCGCGTTGATATTTAATTGTTACCGTAACACAAAATCGGGCCGTGACTCCACCGAAGCTGCCACGTAGATAGCAGCGCCCCGGTCGAGAGCATATCACGTCGAGATGGGGCTTAAATGTCGGGAATACAATCAGGCTCGGCATTGCGAGCAACCGGCAGAAATCATCCCTTCGCCTGATATAACGCCCGATCGTAACGCCGATAACAAATCGCCGAAAACATATTGCAGGACAATGGAAGATAAAAACAATGGCGGGATCACGCTCCAATCGACAAGGTCCAAGCTGGAAATCGAATCTGGCAGCTCCGCCGAAAGTATCGCGAGCCCCGGAGAGCCCGAAAACAGGCGGAGAAGGAAGACCGGCTGGGCCGCTCAGCGCGTGTTCGTCACCGCGGTGGACCTGATTAACCACGCATTGATAATACTGGTGACGTCGTATCTTGTGTATGTCGCCAGCGATCGGTATTCCGTAACGAATGTGCACATAATCCTCTGCACTATTGGGGTACGTATCAACCGCTCTCGTGATACTCGCGTTCAATCTGCCTCTGTGCTCGTCTGTGTTCGTCGGTCTTAGACCGTTGTAATTCATGCAATCGGTAAAAGGTCGCGTCGCATATCGGTCGAGCGTTATCGGACTCGTAAACCTCGCGTAGTCATGTGCGACCTTCCTGACAGTGCTTTGAGAAGGAGAGAAAATATCAGTGGCAATTAAAATACCTCCGGTGCAGCCAGAGGGATTTCACACATGATTTCACGCAAAATCCCCGCGACGCGATCGACAAGAATGACGCTCGCCACTGGGAATTTATATTCTTCGCAACGTACGAGAATTTTAATGCCCCCTCCCACCCCTCCTTCCCCACCCCCTCCCCCACCTCCCTTTCTCCGCTGTATCACGATAACACGGCTGGGGGAATCCTGGGTATATATTTACATTCACGCGCCTGCATTTCCGAGTGTTTGCATTCTGTATGTACATATTGTCGCGCGTCGATGTGAATAATTGCGTCCTAGCTAAATAGTCGTCAAGAATGATTGACCGATGGCTCTGTCTGTTTAGAAACATTTTCCACGGCGTGCAACGCGCGCGACGTATGCCCCGTTGTACACGCGCGGCAAATTTGTGCAATCTGTACAAGCATATCAAATTCCGCTTCGCCCCACGGGCACAAATCAATTGCGATAATTAATTTCGCTGTATATTAATCTACCAATATTAACACGAACACATGTTCGAGCTCTCAGTATTAGGAAGACCTCTCCGTGTCTCTCTCCAAGGGCTTTCTTACCCGAAAAGGAGAGAGCGAGAGAGAGAGAGAGAGAGAGAGAGAGAGAGAGCCCTCTTAATTTCGCGCGGTTACATGACTCGCGGCGAGGCGGCGCTTTCGGCGGGACTCATCGAAAATGTAAAGCCATTTAAAATTCCGAGCGAGTCTCGATGAATAATTTACGCGCGATGTAACAAGCACTCTCAAGTTGCTCGAACAAACAGAAATAAGAAAACACTCGCTCGCGCCTACAGCACAGCGCGCGCGCGTGCACGCGGCACGTCGGCGTCGTCGGTCCGTTAATCTTCCAGATACAGCTGCGGAAAAATCAGACGCGCGTGTCTGCGCAACGTCTCGGGTCGTCGGCCGTACGTCACGCGAGGAAAAGTTCAACCGTCGCAAGCTGAATTTTTTCGAAGCTCTTCACGTCCGGGACATCTCCATTTATTAGATATAGCTCATCGGCATGCATCCGATACACACGCCGAGCCGATCGGGGAAGACCCGTCGACCGTGTTAGTTACGTTCTTCTTTAAACTCGCATCAATATGCGAGTTTACGACTGCGCTCCAAGTAGCTCTTATCTTTTCCTTGTAAGAAGAGCCCGGTTCGCTTGCGCGAGCACGTTTCAAGTGCAACGATAATTGCGCTGCTTATCCGCGGGAAAGCAGAGCTTAGGTACAGATGAATCGTCGATCTCGGGGCCACCTTAAGCTCCCGCGCTTTCTCGCGCTTTCTCGCGCTTTCTCGCGCTTTCTCGCGCGCGCCTGAATATGTCTCGCCACAGGATTCTTCTCTCTTTTTCCTCCTCGCTCCTGACTACAGCGGAATGGATGCGATTATTAATTCTCTCCTGCGTGTCTCCTTCCTTTCTCTTCCTCTCTCTCTCTCTTTTTTTTTTCCTTTTCGCCGAACACGACTCGGTGCTGTAACAACGTCTGGGCACGTAGCTTCCGCGCGGGAATGTACACCTTCATCCTTTGTGCGGAAACGAATCCCACGTTTGCCATTCCAGATTTCGTACGTGTTCCATCACTCTTTGCATGAATAAAACATTTTATTCGGCCCTCGATATATTCGCCATTATATGTTGACAAGTCGAGGATATTCGATCCGGGAATGGACGGGGTGAAAAAAAAAAAGAGAAAAGGAAGGAAACGAAAAACGCAATGCTAAATACCGCTCGTTCTAGCGAACAGTTTCCTTATTCGGTGAACAATATGAAATCGTGGGTTCTCGTGAGACGGCCAAGTCGTAGCGCGTCCGCGTAAAATCCGTATCGAGCGACGATTGCGCCCGTCCCCGTCACGGGAGGCAAACAGGGAGGGCGGACGGTAAGGGGGAGAGAGAGTTTAGGGCAGATAAGATGGCCAAAGAACTTGTAACGACTTAGCCAAACGACCTTTCACGAACGAGCTTCCACAGCCTCGCTCACGAATCGATCTTGCGCTCTCCTCAGTACATCCTGCTGATGTCGGAAGCCATCCTGGTGCTCGCAGGCGAAAACATCCTGACGAGTGCGTTCTCGCGCCGGGCCAACAAGAACATCCACTGGGTGCTGCAGGTGCTCGGACTGATCTGCAACCTCGTCGGCGTCGGCATCATGTACAACGCTAAAAGCGCGCATTTCCTCTCCGTCCACGGTATCCTCGGCTTCTCCTCGCTGGTGATCGTGTTCGTGTTGGCGATCTTCGGCTACCCGGTGCTGATCGCGGTGAAACTCCGCAAGTTCGTACGCCCGGTGGTTGTCAAGCTCGTGCACAATTTTCTGGGCATCGCCTGCTTCGTCCTCGGTATGCTCGCGCAGTGCACCGGCTACCAGAAGAGATTGATATACAGAGCGACGCAGATAGAGAACATCGACACGGCCCTGTTCGTTCTTACGGTGGTGATCATGCTATTGTCCCTGAGGGGCGCGCTTTTTTCTCTCGCCAGCCAGACCCTCGCTCTCGTGAGGTCAATTTGCCCCGCCGTTTCATCATACACGGACGTCGTCGATGCGTCGAGCTCCACGTTCGGCAAGTCGTAAATATATCCCGCGCTATTTACTTACTTTCTCTGCAGCTGCGAGGATAATTATCAATAATTAGAATGCAATATATCCTCAACGGTGCCTTCCAGTCATATTGTTGCATTTGTGCGATTTTGCGACAGGATACAAATGCGCGAGTACGTGTACGTGTGTGTGTGTGTGTGTGCGTGTGCGTGTGTGTGTGTGTGTGTGTGTGTGTGTAACATTCGGTAAAAACTATATTAATTAGGTAATACGATACATTAGAGGAATTAATATTTATTGATAAAAGCTCGAGTTAAATGTAGAAATATGATAACGGGGAGATTTTTTATATGACGTGTAACGCGTTACCAACCAGAAAGATCTGAGCTCGCAGATGAAAAAAATTTGAAATACAAAATAATAAAATTTTGAGCGCGTTTCTCTCCACGTGAACGAGTATGTTCTTGCATTGGAATTAATGGCGGCTATATGCGACGTGCTCGAAAGGGAGAAATATTCGGCATGTTACGAAAATAAAAATAAAGGATGATGCATGGAAACGGCATTAAGCTTGCTAATAACTTCACCGTATAACGATTATAACAAAAGTTCACGGCGACGTTGATGTGGAAGAGAAAGAGGGAAAAAGAGAGAAAGAATAGCGCGCGCGTACGAGTGATTACCACCCGATATCGGTGCAATTCGACGTCGCGAGAGTATTGATCGCGAACAGAATATCCCGGAGAGAATGATTTTCTGTACATTTGGCGCTTTCTATAGAGTATATATATATATATATATATATATATATCTATGTATATATGACGTTTCGAGAATAAAAGGAATTTTTTTCATGTGAAAATTTGTTACATTGTCTAGATCACATCATTGACTAGATTACGCGCAGAAGGGGGCAATTTTATGAAAAACGTGTGTATCAAGTACGTAATATAATATTATTCATTATATATTCATAGTAATGTAATTCATTGCGTTGAATGTGATAGATGTACTCGTGTGATATCATAATATGTATACATATATATATTTCTTTTTTGTTTGTTTTAATGTGAAGCATAGAAGAGAGTAATTGTGTGATTTTTCATGAAAATCTCTCCGAGTGAGACAAACATTGGATATCAAATGCCGTCTATTGTGCGCACGAAGCAGAAAACTGGCTCATTACACATTAATTTAGTGAAAATATTATGCTTGCATTCAGAGTAGTTTAACTCAAAACCATTTGGATTGGAGGCGGCAATTACTACTTAAATTACACGTAACAAACCATTGTCGAGTTACGTTTCGGTTCGTCATTCGGCTGAATTTGCCTCATTACGTCCGACTGTTTAATGTAGTAATTGACATTTTGTTGCGACGAGTGGACACATTATCCTGAAAAAGTAGCCGGAGCCATGAAAGAATTCTCCTTGTCTTTTTGGCCGCGTATTCTCGCATGTAAAGTATCTCGCGAAGGGAAAATCCGCTCTTTAGTGGCGGAGATAATGTTATTACGAAATCGAGTTGCGAAGTGTTCCGCGCACAAGCATTCGGTTGCAGCGGCGCGCCATTTTAGCTTCTGACGGCGTATAAACGAGAAGTCAAAGTTTAATTAGACGCAAAAGCGCGGCACAGTCTGAAATTTCGAAAGTCGTAATTTCTCCTCGCCGCCAAACTGCAGTCTGCTTCCCATTTCCTGCACGGCGAATTCGGTTGCATTTGATGCTTTGGTTAATCGGATCAATCTCATCGAGCGAGAAACAGTTCTGGTGCTTTCAAAGTGTTCGCCGTGAAGGACAACACGCGATCGTAAAAAGCGCGAGACCGGACGAAACTCGGAATGAATGTTTGCCCGAATCTCTTTATTAGTTTACCTGTTACTTCTACAGGCAGGCAGCGACTTCTGAGCATTTCGAAGGGAGAAGAGGACGAACAAAGACAGAGAGAGAGAGAGAGAGAGAGAGAGAGAGAGAGAGAGATAAATGAAAAAGTTAAAAATAAAAATTGTGATCAAATCTGAATTTGGATAAAAGTTCAACGATCGCAGTACTTTTCGCATTCGCTACCGCTTTTCGGCACTGCAGCGCTGATTTCATCAAGTATCAACGTGTAAAGGGGAAAAGATGAAAAATCAAAAGTAAATAAATAATAAATATATAACAATTGGGAAATAATTAATTAATTCCTATATACCTTAGTATTTGATCAAATCCATGCCGAGAGCGCTTTATCGGCCGTAAAAACGCAACTGAAAGCCGCAGCTCCGATTTTCATCGCATCGCATGAGATCGAATGAATGCCGATTCATTTTTCGACGGCGATTGTGCGTTTTATTTTGCGGGCTACTTGCGCACCTTCGCCGCGTTAAAATCAATCATCCGTATAATCGATGAGCACATTGCGCGTATATCGCGGGCGAGCGCGATGCGGGATCATACGGCGCGGTAACGCGCATCGCGAAACTGCGGACGCTGAGAGTTCCGGATCGCGGCGATTCCGCAGCGGACAATCCGCCAGGGTAATTAACGCAGCGGCTGTATAACGTAAAACGCGCGTCCGCGCGCGATAATGCCGGGAGAGTGTGCGCGGGACTCGAGTGATATTTATACGCGCGTGATAACGAGCGCAAGAAGAGCGGCGATATTTATTTGCGCGCGATACTAATCGCCGCCGCGCGCGTATCGCAAATACGCAACCGGATACTTGACCGTTCACACCGAGCGCGCTTATCCGCGATAAGCTTATCCCGATTATGGCGATTATTTACTTGCGTCGCCGTAGAAAATGCGGAAGTGTGTCAACGATCACGTTAATTGCTAACGCGCGCCCGCCTGTCTCGCTCCAGCCCCTCCAGCCATGATTTTCTCTTTCTCTCTCCTTCGGCCCCTTTCCTCGGCGATCTTCGACCTGCCTCGATGAAGCGCGCCGCCCCATTTTTACCGCAGCGGGACGAGATCTGCCAGGTCGCAGATCGAGGCCTCATGAATCATTCATTACGGATTAATTCGACGCGCAATGTCTGTCCACGCTCCGCTAACGCGAGAGCATCCCCGTCCATCCCGTCCGTCCGTTTTCCTTATTGAAAGGATAACTCGCGCTGTTCTTCCCTGGGATTTTGTGTTATTAAATCCCCCTGCCGGGTGGCCGTAATAAGCGGCGTTTTAAAATGCCCAGCGCTCGAAAGTTACGCGTGCGAAGCTGCGGCGGCGGAGGCGGCAGTGGCGGCGCGGCGGTAACGGCGACGGCGGGGAAATTAAAATTCTCGTCGTTTTACAGCGAGAATTTCAAGGCGTCATTTCTCACTTTATGCAAATTGCTCGCGGTGATATTTTATCCCGTGACAATTCCGCGCGAGCGTCCTCGCCGAAGTGGAGAAAGCAGGTCGAAGTTCAACACATTCGTCGATCTTCGAGAGAAAGCGTCAGAGCGCTGCTTTATCATAATATCATAATATCACGTGGAATGACGGCGAATCACGCGGCAAAGGGAGTAAACGTTTGTTGCAAAGTCCCACCCGAACGTTGCTGCCCCTGCTGCCCCCCCCTTCCTATTTCGGTGGGATTCGTGCAAATGAAGTGTTATTTTATGCAATATTGTCGAACAAACCGTTTAATCTGTATGACGCTGTGTGTATTTTTCAAAGAGCTTTTATCCCCCGAACGCCCGAACGCACGTAGACGCGAAATGCGATTTTTAAATATAATCAAACGGACAGCGTGGCAAGTTGCACGTGCAATAAATGCACCGTTGTGCCATTATGGAAATCACATTATGCGTTATTTGCGTTAAAACTTAAAATATTTCAGTCGCAATAACCGACATGCTCCCGTAATGTAGTTTATCGTTAATTAACACCGAGCAAGTATGCGCCGCTTCATCGAATTAATCATCGCGCGCTGAATTTCGCGTGCTCTCTAAAATCCTTCCCACCATTTTTCCATATATCATCCATATTCGTTCGCCGCAGCGCACGTTTATACGACGCTATTCTGTATCGCGCGCGCTAGATGTACAGGGAACACATAATCACGTAATGCCCGTTTTTTGCATGTAATTTTGCATGTTTGCCCGAAACGTGTTATCCTCTTTTAGCGTTTTTACAAATTACGTCGTTATCCGGATAATTACGGCGATGTTTCGCATTAGATTATATTATTCCTTGTCATTACATTTATACCCTCAACGATATCCTTTAATTGTGACCAAATGGCACGCATATTGCGCAAAATAAAACGTTTATTTAATGTGCATATTATTACTAAACATATCATCGCCAACAACGGTAACAAAGCGCTGTACATTTCTGTGCGATATACCAACGAACGAGTTAAACGACCTTGTTTCGACCCGTTTGTATGAATAAATGATGCTCACTGCTAATATCTTTTCTGTTATCGCTGTCAAATATATGGAAGCAAAATCTTTGTTTATGTTCTCGCAATTCGATCGATTGCTCATTTGTTTTCAATTAATAATATAATATATCTCGCCGTTATTCGTGCAAAATGCCAAAAATCATGCAGTTTTCTTATTGGATTTCAGAGAGCCTTTTTTACGCTCGAGAAATATTTAATTTCGCTTAAAAATTTATCTTAATGAATGAACCGAATTCACAATAGCTCCGATCAAGTGGATTATACTGTGATACAACAACGATTTGTTATTCAACGGAGGGGGAGCCTCCTGGCCATATCGGTATCCATCCATCTCTCAGGTTCGTTTGCCGAAAATCACATTTCGCAGAGCGAAGGGAAAACAAGACCCGCGCTTTAAATTGACTTACGCGCGCATCTCGTTTGCCGGCTTGCAGATCGCGCAGCGACGATTGTTGTCGCAGCAGCAGTAATCCGCCAAAAAGTACCTTTCGCCGGCGTTTCGCCGTATCCCGACGCGCCCTCTGCTCGCCACGAGTCCGCATAATTTACGAAAATGCAGCGGCGCGCGTCCGCGTCACCGTCGCCGTCGCCGTAATTGTGTGTCTACAGATAGATATTACCTGGAAATATATAATACAGCGCACATCGCGATATTCCGCTATTTCGATTTCCGGTAGCACACGACGCGCACACACGCACACGCAGAAATGCTCGCCTCATTTTGCTCGCCGCGCCGCGCAGCGAGTCGCGTGCTCCGTGCCGAACTTGAATTATGCCAACTTTTATGACCGCCGCGCGCGGGAACGCGGACGCGAATTGTACGATCGCGTGCGTGCGCGCGAAACAAAGTCATTTAAGACTTGGAGCATATGCGAACGCCGCTCCCCTATTGTGTGCGTCGAGCGAGCGCGCACGGCTATCGCGCGGAGTTCGTCCGATTAAAATGCGCGTCCCTTCGCGCGTCGGGCTAACAAGTCACGTTAGTCACGATCGAAAACATTTTAGGGATACTTAAATACGCACGGAGCGCGTTGTCATCGAATGATACACACATACTACGCGTCATAGCGCGTAACCGGATGATGTGAGAATACAAATTTGTATATTACATCGCGTAGAAATAGTAAAATTTACACGGACGGCCGATTTCACAAAGCGAAAATTTACATCATATTTGAACGCAGTTTTC